AACTCACAATGTCCTTGGGGCTCTTAGCAACATACTCCATTCCAAAGGCCAAAAATGTCGAAAATATTTGGGAGTTTTTATCTAATCCTTAATAGATTTTAGGGTTACCTCTTTAGAGGGGGGAATGTTAGAGTAGCTAAAAGCCCCATAAAAATAAATCAATCAATCAAAGAAGAAGAAAGAGTACATAAAGTATCAGAAAATGTGATGGGGAGATATGGGAGGAGTTGGAAGGGAGGGAGTGGGCGTGGATTTGATCAAAATACCTTATAAGCACGTATGAACTTCTCAATAAATTATTTATTTAAAACAGATTAAGATATTCTATATGAAATACACAAAAATTCAATTAAAAATTTACAAAAAACAAAATAAAACAAACAACAAAAATCAAAATGAGTCGAAGACCTGAATGTGAGATCTGAAACGCTGAAACTGCTAGAGGCAAACAGAGGGAAAGCACTTCAAGATACAGGCATACTCAAGGATAGTCCGAACAGGACACGAACAGCACAGAAAATAATCCCAAGAATTGGAAAATGGGATTACATGAAATTTAGAAGCTTCTACCCCACAAAGGTCACAATCACCACATGAAGAGTCAGCCTACAGAATGGAAAACTTCTTTGCCAACTACACATCAGACAGAGAGTGATATCCAAGATATTTAAAGAAGTACAAAAATTAGGCACACAAAACCCAACTCATCCAATCAACACAGGCCATACTTCCAAATGAAGCCAGCCATGGTCGAGCAGGACATTCAACTTATCTTCACATAGATGGAACTGGTAAAAGAAAGGAGCCAGGAGCTCCTCCCAAGCCCGTGTGACCCCTGAAGAACAGATCTTCAAATGACCTTAAGTGTAAAAATAAATTGATTTATTTGGGCCAACTGTTTGGTCTTAAACACCCAAAAAGAAAGTGTAACCAAAGAGTAAAGTCATCAGTATATTTAAGAGTTCAAGGTCTTACACTTTCCAGACATTAGGCTTAAGTCTTTGAGAGGGAACTGACACTGATTCTAACCACTCCAACAGCTACCAAAATACCTGAAAGAAATCCTGAATCCATCACTCTAGAGTCCAGCCTTGGAAGTCAAAGGAAAAATGAGGAGGAACCCAATAGAGGGATGCTTTTGGAAGCTCTTGTCAAGAAATTCCTATGGACTTTCAT